TAATCCATCCATCCATCCATCCATCCGTCCATGCATGCACACAGCCATATTTTTCAATCTTAAGGAATGTAACCCTGCGAGAGTTTAGGCCTACCGTCGTGGTAACGAGCCCAAAGCCGCAATGCCCAACACGCAAACGCGGAACCCCACCGCAAGCTGCAAAGACCCGTATGCCTTGGGAGTCCTAACCAGGCACTGGTTGTGCCCTTTCGGACCAGCAGGGTTCAGATAATGATGGGCTTGGCCATTATGGTACATGCGGCTCCAAGTGAGGGACCCACCTCTATTGAGAGACTCCCATATCATATCCCTGAATTCAGGGTCCCTGCTATCATTTGAGGAACTTTCCCGAGTGTCCCCTAAACCCCTAAACCCGGCTATAGCTTAGCCATGCTTACCGCTGGGTTCTTGAACCCAAACCCTGAACCCTAAACATTATAGTAGAAGCCACAAAACTTTCAACACGGGTTAAGGACTGTTAGTGCTGGTGTTCCCTTTATTCTTTTTTGACTATGGTATGAGGATAATGCTGCAAGACTTTCTGGCTTCTGGAATAGTCGTTAGAATCACACTGAGGATGGGTCGAATCCCAGCTGCAATCAGCCGGCGGATCAACTCCAACTTCGCGGCCGTGCCGACCTGGACCTCATGTTTGAAGACGGTTTCAGCACTCACACTCGGACATACCTGGGCGAGGCTCCAAGTACGACGAGAAGACGGCTTAGGATTTTAGGGCTTAGTGTAGGACCTACGGTTTCGGGGTAGCGGGACTTAGAATTTGGGATCCGGACATACGGCGTCAAGGTTGCACTAAGTACGAAGTATGGATGGTTCTAGCAGAATACGCTTTCGGAGTCCGTTAGAAAACCTGTGTGCACAGGAGAAGTCACGGAAAGCTTCAGTCGCTCTTCAGGCTCGTGTACCAGGTCGTCCTTACATTTTTCGGGCTCATTTCGGGTTTGAGAGCTTATAGGGCTTCGAGCTCAGCACAACTGAAAGATGACACGAATCCCGCAGCAGCAAAGACGCGCTGTTACGCTTTCTGACGGTCACAGTCTGCTTACGGTCAGTTTCGGGGACGGTGAGCCAGCTGCTTCGCGCGGGGCCACCACGGAGAAACGTCTCGGTGTAGAGCGGCGATCCGCCACCCCACCATTTGTGAAGCTCTGTTTGGCGACAGTTATGCGCCCACGGCCTCAACGACTAATTTGGCCACTGAGACCGAGCTCTGCGGATTCTGGCCGGTCACTAGGTTACCGTCTCGCACCGCGCTGTCAGTCCAGGGATCAGCGACTTTAACCTCTGCCCCGAGCTCTTTCATCTTCTGCTCAAGGAGGAAAGGCACCTTCCCGGTGAGGCCTACCTGCTCTTCCTCAACATCCGTAAAGGCGCACACCTTCTTGCCTTTCACCAGAGGCTCTCCGTCTGCACCCTTGGCCTTCACCAAGGACATGGGGCCGTGGCACACTGCAGCGACGACTTTGCCGGCGGCGGCTGCCTTGGTGATGAAGTCCCCCACCTCGTCTGTTGGGAAGTCCACGCAGGTGCCATGGCCCCCAGCGAAGAAGCACGCGTCGAAAGCTCCCGGGTCCATGTCGGACATCTTCTTCGATGGCCTTGAGTGCTGTGCTGCCCTGCTCGATCATCCTCTTATCGTTCTCGGTCTTGAACTGGTCACTCAAGGAGCCGGCGTCAATGGGGATGTCGCCACCGGCGATCGAGCACACGGTCACCTCGAAGCCCTTGTCGACGAAGGTGTAGTATGGCCCGGTGATCTCTTCACTCCATGCACCCGTCTCGTGGTCGCCCATTTTTGAGGCAGAGGTGGTCACGATCAAAATTTTGGCCTTCTTAGACGTCGCCTCAAGCGCTTTCTTCACATTCGCCTTGGCCTCCTCCGAAAGCTCCGTATAGAGCTGTTTGAGGTCCTCCCCGGAGGCTTTCTGCAACTCGGGCAAATGAGTGCTGGCTCCACTGCCCATGTCTTTCTAAGTCAAAGCAGGGGACCGACTTCGGATACGGCACAGGGGGCGCGATGAGAACTCAATGGCCGCACAACTCTGGAAGACAGGAGCGCTACCAATTTTGCAAAGGTTTCGGTGTGTATCCACAGTTATTGCAGAGCCATCCATTCTTACTTTTCTTTATATATTCCAACCCCTATCTGCCCTATCTCCTGTCTCACTCTTGCTTGCTGTTGCCCGGACTCCCTCTTGGGGGTGTGGCTACTGCCTCACACACCAATTTACCAAATCGAAAGGCCGAAGGCATGTTGTGGAACCCGTCACACCACTAAATATTTGCTAATGTTTCAGGCTGAAGCTGGAAGCAACAGTTCCCACCGAAACTAGCGACAGCAGGGGCATCAGTTGAAGGTTGTGCTGACCTTCACGCCATGGTCTGCTAATCTTGCCATTAGGGAGGACAAAACCTTCCACGACAAACAACAATATCATTCAATGTCCTGTTGTGAAGTTCAGTCTTGCACGGGCACCCCGTGTGATCTTGGAATTTAAAGTGCTGCTCGATGGATGCCGGATGTGCTCCTGACAATGACAAGGTCTCGATTGTTGTCGTTGTCATTCTGTTCCCGTGAGCAATACTAGATCGTCCACTAACCTGGTCTCAGTTGCCTGGCCTGCGATGGTACGGAGGTGAACTGCCGAACTGGCAGTAGGAAGACACGCCAGATTCAGGCGAACAACCTACAGGATAGTCGAGACCCTGTCGTATGGCCTTTGTTAGCTATCCGGCTATCCTCTCCGCTCGACACCTTTTAACCCCAAACACGCGATTCAGGCCTTCCTTTTGAAGCTCTGCCCGCTCCCGGCAGTAGAAAAACGCCAGGCTCAAGCGCGGCTGCCGGGGCGGCGGCCCAACACCGCCTTTTACTACCTTTGTTTCGCGCTCTTGGATTCTGAGGGTGGGTGGGGCCGGGAGGTCTAGGATCTGCACCGAACACCTAAGCAGGGAAAGGCTGACCAGGAGTGTACAATATTGCAGCCGCCAAAACCAGACGCCCTACGCAACCACCCGCCACGGTACGAACGCTGTTTCCTCAGGTGGTTCACCCTGGCTCTTCCAACATACAACTCGTTCTTAAAGCCAGGCTTTGATCCAGAGGTTGCGGGCCACGCTGCACGAGCTCTGCGCTGGGTTGTTTTACGGGCCTAGAAAGCAAAAAAACCTGCAAAAACATCCAATCACGCACCCCTAGAGCCCAAACTTAAACCAAGGCACTTGTAGCAGCAGGGATCCCTGTGTCCAGGTTCTCAATATTAAGGCCCCTATGAGGGTAGTTCTCGAAATTACCGGTTCCTTTTTTTCGGAACCCCAAATAAGGAAGGCACTTGGTGAGGCGTCGGCCGCCGCCTCCGCGCCGCTGGCAGCGCTTCGGAGAAGCGGGTACCCGCCAGGAGAGCGCCGGAGGGGATCTGAATGGTTTCGGGCTTGGGGCTTAAAGGGAAGGCTTGTAGGGTTTATTTAGGGTTTCTTTAAGGTTTCTTTAGGGTTTGAGGGTTTTGGGGCTTACAGCTTATAGGGCTTAGAGCATTGTTGGTGACAGAAGGATGTTATCCATGGGATGCAGATTGATGCCTGGGGGTTTTGTTACAGGGCTCCTCTATTCGCGAACGTAGGCTTTGTTGTCTGGGGCTCCTGGATTCTTCTTGGTAAGCTTTTAAGTGTGTGGGATGATTGCCATAATTAGGGTTCAGGGGTTTAGGGTTTAGAAACACTAAGCCATAAACCCTATACTCTAACATTTCTGACAACGAGCTCGGGCTCATGCCTGATAATGCAGGGGAAAAGCATGTTTTATCTGGAAGGCTCCATTGAATTCAAACCCAAAGCCCTGAGCCACGAACCCCGGTGTACGGCTCCAAGACCCCAAACAGCCAAAGGAACCCACAGGGTTTAGGGTTTAGGGTTAGGACTCGTAAACCCTGCAATGGAGAGATGCGGATTAGATAGGGTGCATATCCATCAACGGCCCTGTCGAGGTTCAGCACGATGGCTTTATACGTTTTAGCGTGTGACAAAGGGGGTTTAGGGATCACTGCAAAAGCAAAACGTGCAATCCCTCTCGCAGCTGTCCCCAACCCTAAACCCTTGCCCTGTAGCACCGCTAAGAGAAGCCTTTACCGACCCAGGAACCCTTAAAGGAGCGTAACTTTGTGTATTAAGATTAGGGAGCCCTGTATACCCTAAGCCCTAAACCCTAAGCCCTAATCATCGAAAAATGCAACGGGGCCGCCGCTTCTGCACTTTGCTGGGTCGGCCTCTGAAAAGCGAGCTCTAGGAACCCTTTGCTCTGGGAGTTTTAGGATTTAGGGTTTAGGGTCCAGGGTTTATAAGGTTTAGGGATTAAGGTTTATCAGGTTTGTGTGTGCGCGCGCTTTTGTGTACACATGACTGAGCATGTGCTTTAGATGTGTGTATATATGTATATGAAGAACTATGTATGCATGTCTGCTTGTATGTATGTCGAGGCTGTACTCAAGGATTGAAAAATGGCGTATGGACCTCTGGGTTCGGTGCATCAGGGTGGCATTCGGGTTTAGGGCATTCTTAGGGCAGTAGAACAGTAGTGTATCAAGATACTATAGACCTTAGGATTTGAGGAGGGTGTCCGGGACATCATAGGGTTTAGCAGACTTCACAGGGATTCTAGAAAATATGTTTCTTGCATCAAACCCTCAACCCAGAAAAACCGTTCAGGCCCAAAACCCAAACCCATAAACGGAACAGGTTTGGATTCAAACACTGGAACCCGTGAAAAACTGTTGTACCACTTTTGGAAGCCTTGACAAGCTTTCACAAAACACTCCCTACAGGAAGAAGCGGCACCCTGCCATCCACCTCGTCTTCCTGCGCCAAGAAGAAGCCGACAATGGCACCAAGGCATCCTGGGAAGTTCGCGGTCTGAGGCCGTTTATATAAGGAACGTTTGTTTGGGGGGGGTTCCCTAAACCCTATAAACCCTAAACCTTTTAAGGGTAGGGTTGCCGGGCTTGAGGGCCTTTATGTCGGTACCCACAAGGGTAGTTGTCCCCTTTTACGGTCCTTTTTGTAAGGGTGCCGTGCTATTTTGGGAACCTGAAAAGGGACCCTATGTTAGAGAACTACCCACAAGCAGACACAGCCAGGTATGCGTAACTAGGGATGACCTCATTGGGAATACGACCGATCACCACGAGACCTCCTGCGAACACCCGTTTTCATCCAGGCATGCCGGGAATTTGCAAGGAAGCCTTCGACAATCTTTGCACCACGCACCGGTTGCGCAAGAAGCCAAAACTATCTACGGGCAAAGATGCCGTTCTGAAGATGGCATGGCGCGACTGCCCCAAGCCCGATCACCTAGAAACCTACTGGAAGGATCAGGGGACTTTGTAGTAAGTAAGGTCACAGGTACCCAAATCGGTGTGGTAAACAGCTATGCCTTTAGTTACGTTATTTAAACCCCCAAGTACAAAAGTCTCATGACCCCTTCCCCATGACCCTTTTGGTATGGCAAGGGGCATCCTCCCGACGGACCAGCAGCCGACTGCCGCCGGCAGCAGGGATCAAAAGCAAAGTGAGAGCAGAGAGGTCCTTGCTTTAGGAATTTAAGGATCGGGGTTTAGGGTTTAGGGCCAAGCTTAGGGTTTAGGGTTATCATGGGAATTCTTTCGAAGGTGTGGGGACCAGGTGTCCTGCGAGGGTTTGGGTGCTTGTCAACCAAGCGTTCTGCTAGCTGCAATCGCTGCAATGCCGCCCACATGTAACTTGCAAACGCAGGTGCACAAGCATGCAAATTCGCATGCATGCTTGCCTGTATGTTCGCATGTTCGCATGCATGGATGTGCAGATATGTATGTATGTATGTATGTATGTATGCATGCATGCATGTATATATATATATGCGTGCATCTACGCTTGCTTGCATGTCTGTTCGTATCTTTGTCTGTTCGTATGTATGCATGTATACATGTCTGCATGTGTGCATGTATGCATGTGCACATGCACGTGTGCATGCACGTGCGCATGCATGTGTGTATGCATGCCTTTATGTAGGTGTTAGTATGTATGTATGCATGCATGCATCCATGTCTGTTGTCTGTCTGTCTGTCGGTCCGCCCGTCCGTCGGTCTATCTGTCTGTCTGCCTGCCTGTCTGTCTGTATGTGTGTGCGTGTGCGTACACGTAAGAGTGTAAACGCATTTTTGATTGTATCCATGCAAATATGAGCGCGTGTGTATGTACATGCTGATACATTGTATATATATATATACACACACAGAGACACATAACTTTATATACAAAAAATAATGTGCGTGCATACGTATGTATGTCTATGTGTGTGTGTGTAGATGTGTGTATGTGTGTATATATATGCAGAGAAAACTGCACATGCTTTTGCAAAGGCAAGCATATATATATATATACATTAATTATCTCGCTCTGTGCTTTGTATACCAGTACATACATATGCACGAATACATCGACACGCACACACACACACACCTGCAGAAGATACATGCATACATACATACGTACGTACGTACAGACATGCGTGTCTACATCCATGCGTAGAAGCATGCAGGCATGCATAAGACGACATTGAAAAGCGCGTGCGCAAATACACATTTATGCAGAAGATATGAATGAAAGGAGCATTCACACGTGTTATATCGTTTCTACTCTTCCTCGTCGTCGTCGTCGTGGTGGTCGTGGTCGTGGTCGTGGTCGTGGTCGTGGTCGTGGTCGTGGTCGTGGTGGTCGTGGTGGTGGTGGTGGTGGTGGTGGTGGTGGTGGGGGTGGCGGTGGCGGTGGCGGTTGCGGTGGCGGTGGCGGTGGCGGTGGCGGTAGTGGCGGGGGTAGTGGCGGTGGTGGTGGCGGTGGGGGTAGTGGCGGTGGCGGTGGCGGTGGCGGTGGCGGTGGTGGTGGCGGTGGTGGTGGTGGTGGTGGTCGTCGTCGGTCGTCGTAGTAGTCGTTGTCG